GGTACATTCAGATTTTTTACGATAGATCTTATTCGATGGTGTTAAAAAACGAGCTTACAAATATGTACAATAATTGGTTTGACTAGTTGATATTGTAAATTCGACTAAAACATTTTTTTAAATTTATTATACGTTAACGGGTGGGGGGATTGGGATGGGGGGGGGGGGAGGGGATTGGGAGGGGGGGGGGTGGTCGTCAACCTAACTTAAGCAGCAATATTTCCTTCATTTATGAAAATTGCTCTCTGTCGAATAAGCAATAAATGAATCAATACTCGATCGATTATTATCTACAGACCAGTGGAATTATTAATAATGTCCTCATGTTTACACGAAACTTGCCGTGGCTTTTCATCTATTAAATAAATGCTACTTACACGATTATTAATTATATATGCTTAATCGATAAATTATTTTTATCGCACGAAGGAGCAAAATTAATTTTATCTCTTGCCCATAACTATAGCGGGATGTCTAGCGAGTAAAAAATACAAAGCGACTTAAATGTGCAAGTATATTGGAAGACGAACGAATACATGCTTAATAAGTAAATCAAACAGATGGAGGGGAAAGGCAAAAGAGGAGAATGTATACACTCTTGAAAGAAGCGAATGACGCATCACCTATAATTCTATAATTCAGTCAGAAAAAATCGACTCGACTTAAAGACAGACCCCTCGGTACTCGTCAACGGACGTCGCCTACGAGGCTCTGCGAAAAGGACATGCGCACGCAACTCTGAAGGAAGAAGCGAATAGGCGTCGCGTAAGGGGGAGATTTCCAATTAGCATAGTCGAGCCATCTCGTGAATTAGCGAGTACGCGTGCGCGATATGCTCCGTTACGCGTGCGAATAAATACATTCTATAGCATAATTACGGCCTTGGACTTGCACGTATAATAGTTTTTTCCTTTTGTACTGAGATTTTTTGCGTTTACTAATGAGAGAGGTGCTAGGAGATTTTTTTGTATTGTGTAAGCTGTTTAACATTTTTCTTTCCGTGTTATCTTTAATAATCTTACCGATCAATGTAACGATGATTAAATACGCATTCAACATGGATTATACATTTACGAAGAGTTTGGAGGTCGCCGAAATCTTTTTTCTATCCCATTGAATTCTACAATCAATGATCTATAATATTTCGTTAATTGATTAACGAATTTATCCAGCTCTGTCGATTAAATTACTTTTATTTTTAATGCCTTTTTTTTTTAAATACTATTTATTACAAAAAATAGTATTATTAGTTATAGGGAACATTGTTAAAACTGGCGACGGTTATAGCAGATAAGATTTTTATGCAATTTATGCAGACAATATAAGAACAATATAAGACAATATAAGAACAACGGCTTTCGCATTACAACAGCAAAGTAAGATCCTTAACTAGATAACATTTTATGTAGTATGTTTTCTTTTGTAAGATTATTAAGAAAAAAATACGTTCGCCAAAACTTATAGGTCGGATTAATTCTCTTGAAAACAAAGAACTGAATTGTACACGAAATAGATATACACGTTCAACGATAAAGTAAAACTCGTAACATTTACTATCACAAATTTTTTCTTTTCTTTTGGCAAACTTGTTTGTGCGCGGCACGAACAAGAACTTACGAGTAAAAATTGCAAGTCGATTATGTTCATTCGATTTTTCATCCATCTGCTCCTCCGCGCTTTTCTTCCCACATTTTCCTCCACGTGCTATGAATTCGCTTTCCCGACAAACGCGTCAGTAATGAAATTAATTACACTACCATACAATTTAGTACCCCCGGCAAGCTCCTTTGGACAAAGGATACGAAACCCTCACCACATTAATTTATTACATAAATCAAACTTGAGCATTTTTAGAATAAACTAGCAGCAGAGAAAACAATTATTTCACTTTTTGTAACATTTTTTAATACTAACTATATTATCAGTAGAATCGAAATTTCGTCTCTGCCAAAACAAAGTACTTTGCTTCAAAACAATGAATCATAAACTTTTTGTAATTCTATAAGTACGCGAATATTATATGATTATTCAATGACAATGTAAACAATAAGGAAACAAAATGTTCTTAACTCCTAAATTCCACTAACAATGAGATTTTAATTTCGTTTTTTTTTTTTTTTTACATGATTTTAAATCAAAATATAACAAAACGGTAAACAATAATGCTATGAAAAAACAAGAAAGCTTAACATCAACAAAGTTGATGAAGCATCTGTTATTTTAACATACATATATTTCTTCCACGAATATTTTATTATAATAGACTCAGTATTATGGAATTGTGCTCAAGTTATTTTTTATCTACGCGACAGGACATATTGAAACTGCATATAATGTCAAACATAATAAAAAAAAAAAAAAAAAAAAAAAAAAAAAAAAAAAAAAAAAAAAAAAAAAAAAATAATTAATATGTATTATATGTGGAGAGGGCCCCCCCCGCCCTCCGCGCCCCACCGATTGAAGTAAAGATAGGCATGGGCAATTTAAGAGGCATACTTTATTTAGGTGCCAGCCTAACGCAAAGAGAAAGAAATGCTAAAATTATCCGACCGCGCGATAACTGATGCGAATAATATCGCATTCGATAGTGAGCAATAAATATAAACATCGCATCGCCTTCGATGCCATGAAGCAGATAATTCCCTCAAACAAAATCCGAAAGTTTTTCAACCGCAGAACGTATCGCTCGTACATGTACACTCTTACCGACTCTCTTCCAAGATGCAGAAATACGACGGCTGAGTCACTCGATTCATTCTCGTCTTTTCACTTCTCCTTTTTTACATCTCCTCTTTCCACACTTTCTTCTCCGTGTCTTTGCTCTTGCTTTACACGTACGGCTTTTTATAATGCTTAATGACACATTCCCATGTACTTTACTTTTATATCAATCGCCCTCGTCCAATAACCGAAATTGCTCGAGTAAAATGTTTGACCAATTTGAAATGTATAATTTGCGATTACATGGGAAGTCTCGGGTTTAAATATGCCGGACATTTCGGACGAAAAAAAGAATAAAACCAAGCCCGAGAAAAGAAAATTCGCGAACGAATTGTTATTTGTTACTCCACTTATCGTCCTCTCCGACTCCATATTACTCAATATTTATATATATCTTGTTTTTCTTCTGTCGTTAAGAATATAGCAATTTTAAAGAATCGTTGACAATAGCTAAATGAATAAGCTATAAAAGTATTTCAACGCAACGACGGGTGTAAAGATATTTATTATCTTGAAAATAAAAGAAAAAATACAGCGATAAAGGAGAATGGAATATGGCTACAATGTAATGGTCAAAATGATTTAATTCGAGTCTCCCGTTCATTAAACCTCTAATAATCCTTACATATATATATATATATATATATATATATCCTTTTTTATCTTATATTTCCGTAGACATCTGTTACATTTTCAAGAGCTTACTACGAGCATTCCAGCCGGTGTACGGAGAAGGTCAAAAATGTTGAAAAAGCCCGGCATTGGGTGGGGTCGACGAATGTCTTGTGGGATGATGATGGGGGCGCAAATGAAAGCGAAAGAAAGAGCGCAAAACAAAGAGAAATGATTAGTTCTCGAGTGGCTCGTAATCGCGCCTACGCGAAACGAGGGAGCAAACCATCGTTTGTCTCACTCACACATTGATATATTCGTTGCGACAGTGGATTTATTGCACACTGCCGATATCGAATGCCGCCGCTCGGTCGTTACGAAAAACAAGCCACTAACTCATTATGAGCTTCTTATATTCGTTCGCTATGAAATCGGCAGCTTTTTTTCCCAACTGCTCATTGACTTTGTAGTCAGCCTATATCATTATTGTTTTATCCAATGAATGTTTTCCTCAAGCTCAAACGCTTTCCTCAACAATGTTTTTTAACAGATTTTACGCCCTCTATTCATCAAATGGAATTAATAATTGTAAAAAGCTTTAACAAATATTTAATAGCCCGACCGTTGTCTTTAATCTAGGCACAATTTAGTGTTAATCTCTATGTAAACGAATTTCATCAAAACGAATTTATTTATCGTCATTTATTCTATTTATTAAGACTTACTAAACAATACCACATCAAAATCAAAGCATCCGAGAATGTAATAAGCCGAAACTTAGATATTTATTGTTAAACATATATATATATATATATATATATATATGTACAAAGATATATCGATTATCTCGCTATTGAAACACTCGCCCAGCTAACCACGCATATTACGTAATACATCACTTACAGAGTATATGTAGAGTAGCTCAATCTTTTTCAAATGTAATCCAACTTGAAAAACGATAATAATATGTGGGAAAGATCTTAAGATTATTCATAAAGAAACGAGGGAATAAGAGGCGGATTGGCCGACCGTTAAAAGTACAAAGTGTACGGGCCAAGCATAGGTTTTATTAAAAATCTATTTCACAATAATTACGGAACATTTCCAAATTTATCCTAAACAAATATTTAGTTACGAGTGTAGGATACACGATACACGCACGATACACGCAGAAGCTTAGAAAAAAAAAGAAAAAAAAATACCATGACTTTAATAGACAAGTCTCTTATAAAAATAATGTTCTAAAAATAAGATCGCAATAAGCCATTCATAATTAGTTTCGAATTACATCTCATGCTTATCTCAATGCAAAAGGTCTCTTTGTTCACACATAAAGATTGACAGACTTAGGGAGGGGGAGTGGATATAATGAAAAATGAAAAATAAACGCGTGATAACGTTACGCATAAATTAATTTATCAATGAGTACTCGAGAAATATCGGTCGATTAATCAGCCGACTTATATCGGATTATTAAAAGCTCTTGGATAAAGGGTAAGTAAAGGGATCCCTCGCATCTTGAGCTTGAATTTTGAAAGATGAGATCGATCGCGCTGCCCCGCGTGCGAATTGTGAATCGCACTTTGGTCGATCTGGCGATAATCTGCCTACAGATCGAGAGGTTGAAAATCAATTTGGACGGGGAAGGCCAAGTAGTAGTAACTTACCTCTGTAAGTGGCTCCTCCTTGGCGACGTCTCCATTCTTCGGTGTAGCCTCGCGCACCGGTTTGCTCTTATCTTTTCTGCTGAAGCTGATCGACCTGAATGACCACTTCTTCTTGCTCTGGAATCGGATAATGATAATCGAGAAATTACACTTTGCTCGATTCGTTCGTTAAGGTAGGAGGAGGGAGGGGGCAGTGAATCGCGTGTCGTAGGCCCTCTATTTCTAATATATTCCATGCGAATGCTTGAAAAGGGGGGCGGCGCCGCGGTAGTAGAGTTTGCAATTTTATTCGCTCACGCGCGAATGGCGAAATGAAAATTAAAGTTTCGTATGACTCATAGAGCTAATCTGCTTTTTATACATTGTGATTTATGCTCAATTTACTACTGTGAATCATGGAATTGTGGAATCAAGCGAGCAGCCAGCCAGCCAGCCAGCCAGCCAGCCAGCCAGCCAGCCAGCCGTCAGTCAGTCACACAGGCTTCGTATTACAAATTTTCTACAAATTTCTGCTCCTTATTTAAACCGGGTGAGGGGGGGGGAACAAAAAATAAAAACAAAAAAACAAACAAAAACAAACCAAACTTTTATTCGTGTTGTGCTCGCGCGCGCGCGCGCGCGCTAGTTCATTCGCTAATAGACATAAAATTTGACGAACGGACATATGCTGTAAATTACGTTAATTCGTGCTCGGCTTTAGTTCGGGTAGAAAAGCTCCAGTCGGTTTAAAGTGGCATTAAAATCCTCGGCAATTGATAGAAGAGTTAGTGTTGAAAAGTTGGTGGGTCAGGTCAAGGAGGGGGAAAAGTTGCCCGGACTGTGAAGAAAATCCGAAGGGAGCTCCCAATTTCCCGGAATAAAGAAACCTAACGAATAATCCTCCTCCGCGATTGGGCTCCCGGCGGTTATCGATCGACGCCCAACGAGGAACGGTGACACCCACGCAATCTTGCACAATGGATCGCGCCAACGCACCTTGTCCTTCTTTTTGGCTTCCTTGGTGTCTGGTGTCGTAGCGGTAGAGTTGGGGCTGGCTGGAGTGACGGGAGTCTCGGTGGTGGGTGTCGTGACCTCGGCCGGCGCAGCCTCCGCCGTCACCTCTGCGATCGCTTCCCCTGCCGACAGCTCCGCGGTCTTCACTTCCTCCTTGGCCGCTACCTCCTCGGGCTGTTTCTACAATTACATAAAAGAGCGGCTGTTTAAAGCGATTGTAGGGAAGGCCATGAGCGTTGGCGAGTGCCCCGGGGAACCCGTGTTCTCGTCGACGCTTTCTATTAAGGTCGCTTGCGAAGGGATCGTCCTATTTCCTAGGGGGAAATAAATGCCCTTTCGCACATATCGGACGCGCGTTCTAGGGCCGTCGCCCTATTGAAACACTTTACTTTCTTCTCATAGATTCTTACGAAGAAGATATTTTTTCACTTTGCGCTTGACTTTTGTTATGTTCGTTACCGTGATTCGTACTGTAAGCTTAGTAATGACGACGACATAACCTATTATATGGGAGAATGACAAAAGCATATGTCAACAGCTGTGCTCTCATACCATAATCTTAAACGACAAAGATAGTTTTTAAAACAAAAATATTCAAATATTTGTTTATAATGCAAAATATGTGCAAACACTTTTTAAAAAACAACCGGCTCAACTCCTCTAAAACAACATCCACCCATCGTTTTGATTTAAAGTAATGAATTTGCTAATTATGTCTCGCTAGGAAAGAAAAGCTAGCATTGTTTAGCGGCTATTATCTTCCAAAAGACTGACGGAACAAACGTACTCGTCGGCCAAACCAAAATGGACAATGAAGATGCTCAACTGTCGATACGTCAACGGCATTGTACCGAGCAGACGATATTGTTTTCCCAACTCTGTCCTTCCCAGCGTTCCTGCCCTTTATGAAAACTTTATTCTTTTATTCTTCAGATCAATGCCTTACCCAGCATATTATTAACGCGTCGATAAAAAGAAGTAAAGAAAAATTTTTTTAAATTAAAAAAAATACTAAAAACATCCAACGAATATCATTTAGATTAATAAACTAATTCCAGTTTTGAAATGTTGGGAACGTTAATTCTCTTTATTTTCATCCGGTATAATCTTATAATCGTATTTTCATAATTTTTCTAATTTATACCGCTGACTCTTAAAGGAATGAAGTATTTTTATTAAGAGTCTATTAATTTTTTCATTACACAAGTTTAATTTTCTTTCAATTAATTTTCATTAGTCCCATTAAATTATTATTATTGGGAATTTATATTTATAGACGGAAAAAATTAATAATAATCTTGACATAATTATATTAATTTATAATTTATTAATTTGTTTGTATAATTAAATAGTTTGTCGGGTTTACGATAATTGACGTATTTTTTCTTTTCCGTCCAATAGAAAAATAAATTAATAATAACGACACTCTGTAGCAGAGGCTGTTTTTATCACAAATTTTAGAATTGGTAACGGCCTTCTCAACGGCTCTTCTTCTCAAATTCCATTAATATAAACAGTTATTTCGAACAACCAATCCGACATTTTATTAACTATTGCTGTAAAGAATAGAGTAACTTTATCGCTAAATTTGACGATTCAATTTAGTTGAGTGACAAAATATCCTAAAACATACATTAGCAATAACCAACTTGTGAAGTATTGTATTAGCTTAAGAAAGGGAGACTGACAAATCCATTGGGAAGCAAAATATTTCTCACTCAAACGAGGAATGATATCGCATTCTCAGTGTTCTTCGATCGTTTGCTTCTCTTTCTCTCATCTCATTCACAGATAAAATTAGATAGGCGAAAGCTTCGCCATAAAACATCGCTTATTTCCGTGATTATTCCCCTCTCGGTAGGCCCGGAAACTGGTTTCCTTGCAAGTCAAAAACAGAAAGGTACGAACTCGTGCCCTCAGGACCTTATCCGCAAGGCAAACAGCGATCGAGATAATTGACGCTCATCTCGAGGGTGCGGCTTCCTCGAGTCGAGGAAATCACCCTCCTCCGGCTCTTGCATGGCCATCCACCGCGAAAGAATACGTCAGAGGTAAAGAGCAGTGTGCGAAATGGATGTGAAATGGATGTCGACCAATGGAAGTAAGGGAGAGAAGCGAGCGAAACACGCGGAGCTGACACACAGTCCGTTAGATGAAAGTCGAGATAAAGAGAAAAGAACGGGAATCTTCTGCGAGATTTCGCGATTACATAAAGAATTGAGTTTCCGACTATTGGTCGAGCTAACGATATTTTATCGATCCCTCTGTCTGTTCCGTTAAATCGCATGATATTGTGCTTTGTTTGGCTTCGACTACAAATTTATGCACATTTCATATATTTCATTTTTGTTTCCAAGGAAAAGATGAATCATTTAAGTTGTGAATCAGTGACATAAATGTATGCGTAGTTTGAACGAACTTGCCAGCCAATACAGTGAGATTTAAAATAAATAGTATTATTAACAATAAATATTTTAAAATTCCATTAAATATTTAACTCCATTACTATCCATAAAAATTATGCTAATTGATATTAAACAATGTTTTCCCCTACTTTCATCGTTTATTATTATTGTGTTAAAACTACGCTTCGTTGTTACGAATTATTCAACGGTACTTAAATTTTTTTTTAATTTTAAATTTTTCTAATTTTCTTTACGTCTAAAGAGTAAAATTTGATATCGTTGTGGTAATTAATTCTTTCCGCAGCTGTAAATGACCTAAAAAATTGTCGATCCGCACTGATAAAACTTAAAATAGTACATATTTGTCGGAAGGTAACATTCGCATTTGGGCTTAAGTAAAATAAATAGAATTCATCGAGTACATGATACGTATTTAATTCCTTCTCTTTCATATGATGGTCCCTTTCTCTTGTCCCGTTAAGGACAAAAAAGCCGACGAAGTAAAGACTTAACAAAGAACAATGGACTAAGATGGAAATTGAGAGACCGATCCGGCAGATGTGCTCATAAAGAACGAAAATAAAAAACAAAAAAAGGAAGGGAAAGCGCGCACAGTCGAAAGGTCAAAGTCCAAAAAAAAAAAAAAAAAAAAAAAAAAAAATAAAGAAAAAAAAAAGAAAAAAGGACCACGATAGGGGCAGCACGACGGAACAAAGTATAAAGAAGTAAAAAAAAATCGATGCTTCTCACGGGCGGTATACATGTAGAATCAGTCGCACGAAATCGTCATCATGCGCGCGCGTGTGCTCTAGAGAGAGAGAGAGAGAGAGAGAGAGAGAGAGAGAGAGAGAGAGAGAGAGGGAGAGGAACGACGACACCGACTGATTAATCGATCGCGACGTCAGTGGCACCAGCGAGCCATTAACCTCTAACTATTTTTCGACTCGAGGGCCAATTTCGAATCATTGATGACGGCACGCACTGGATAGTATTTAAACGACATTTCTTTGCACGATGTGCTCGTTATTTTATGAAAGCTTCATAATATTTTCCAGTAAAGACCCTTCACTTGATCACGTGATCTACCGAGTATTAATTAGGGATCTCCTTTATATGTTTGGCCCTTTACTCGCCTATCAAAATTCTTCGAACAAATCGCGCAAGACTGGCTGGCTGATTCGATAATACTTTAAATTAAATGTTTGTTGGTTTAGCGAACGCCAGTCAATACAATGTAAGTATCGATGTTTATGCCAATGTTAGCGTGAACTTTCGCGTTTCATCGCGTGACAACTAATTAACATTCATTTATAATTCAACTCATAAATTATTCAAATCCATTATCAATTACCATAAAATAATCTATTGTAGCCAAACACTGTAATATTACTTTCACTTCGTTATAGTTTATCAATACAAGGCATTAACATAACCATGATAATATTTTAGTAATAACAATGTTAATTTGAACATATTGGTGGAATAACGATAAATAGCGCTTGTGTTCTTTCTCTATTTCATTCCATTTTATGTTATTGATTTATTTAGACATATTCATAAAGGAGCCAATTAAATTAGTTGTTTTCGACATAGTGATTATATTTACGTAAAACGAAAAATTATGATTTTGAAATATATTTGAAAGCAAGGTTTTCAGAATTAATATCCTTTCGAATAAGGAAAATTCAAAGTATAGAAGTTTAATAATTAAAATACACTCTTAAGGACTACTGGCCATTATAACGTAATCGGCAAACTAAATAAAACTTTATGAAAAAAGTATGTAAGAAATAATTTCAAAAGTATGGAATAAAATCACTTTCAGAAGAGTATAAAACAGGTATTAAAAATCGACTGTAAAAAAAGTAAATAATTAAAATAAAAAAAAAAAAAACGGAGAAGATAACACCGTTCTTGTACACCTAATTAGTGATATTTTAAGGTTAGCATTAAGTGACAAAAGTACTGTTGAATAATTAGCACATCTCGCTTTAATTTTCTTTTTCTTTTTTTCTTTTTTTTTTTTTTTTTTTTTTTTTTTTTTTTTTTTTTTTTTTTAAGTAAAGAATATAATGTACAAGTTTTACTTTAAGAAAAATGAAAAATCTTCATCAGTAATTATCAGTACTAAATAATTACATTATACATTTTATAGATGCCGTTTCATTTAATCTATACGTTTTAATTAACAAATAAGTATATGCCAAAAACTTTAAATTGTCAATTTATTCGTCATAGTGAAAATGATTTTTTTTTCTCTCATTATAAGCCGGACAAGCAGATTTCACTGTTTCTACTTCAATTTTCTGCCAATGGTTCCAACTATACACTTATACCACTACACTTGTATACTACACATTATAAGGTCTTTTATAAGAAAAAACATATGCTTATTAGAGAGTTAAATTTGACTGAAAATGTACGTTAATATTTATGAGCGGGCACGTGTCATTTTCTAAAATTAGATGAAATGTAACACGAATTATATTATGGAAGCGCTTAAGGTGTAAAAGTTTGTGAGATTTATTTTAAAATGTTACGGTATAATAAATATGTGTACGAACGAAAATCATTATTCGACTCAACGATGCATCCTTAAATGCATATGTACACTACCTGCAAAGTATAATTTACATTAATCTTTATCGATATAAGTCTCGACTCTTTTGTACTCGCTTTCATCACAATTTTCGCGCTTCCATTATTCAAATATAAAATACAAGAAACTTTATGGTCCGGTGATCAAAGCCTGTGTGCGAGCCCCGATGCATTCGT